GAAACCTCAAATTTTGAGAGGGGGTTAAGTTTTTGAATTTTTTGGTTGACCACAATGGTTGATTATTGAAAATAATAAACCAAAATACAGCTAGTAAATTTGAATTGGAATATAAAATGTACAACATGAAGAGAAACTACCCATTGCTGCTACTCCAATTATATTTATATACCAGAAAAACCCGAGAGCATCTTCTCAGACTACTTGCAGGGTTATCAGAAACCAGAATGAGGAAGCAAGCTTAGAAACAAGAGGTTTTGGATGATTAAGAAGTTTATTATGGAAGGATAGGTATCTGGATTGAGCTAAATTGGAAACATATGGTACATTAAGGTCGTTATGGATGATTTTATTTGTGACAAAGTAAGGATTTTGGATCGTAAGGTGAAATTCGATGGTTTTGTTGAGCCCCAAAGCTCAATTCCCTAAGTCCCAAATAGACCATATTATATTCATATATGTGAGTCTTTTGTAAGTAATTGAAAGCTTAGAGCCATTATCTATTAAGTGCTGGAATAGTCGGAAACGTCGAGAGATTTCTTGCCTAGTATGAGGATCCCAAGTGAGTCGTTTTTCCAGGTGGATTCCTAGGTATCGGATTTGTTCAAACAGTGACAAGTGCCTTCATATCATGAAATATTGATCGACCAGTTTCTGTAAGCAGCTCATTGTTGGTCTTTCTTCTCCATTTTTTAATATTCTGATCTCATATCGCTCCAGTTATCGTGTGAATGATATTTTTTATGAATATTTCAATTTCTAGAGCGCTGATTAGTATCCAGGTCTCACAGTCATATATTAGAACTGGTTGTATTGTAGCATCGTGCACCCTTAATTTAAGATTTCTCGACTGCATTCTTGGGACTTGAATAACTTTGAAAGAGAGAAGAAAGCTCTATTTGCAATTGTGATACGCTGGCCTATTTTCGACCTGTGTTCATTCATTGAGGTCATTGAAAAGCCAAACCGCGTTTGAATTTTTCCACTCTCAGGAATGATTTCCCTTCTAAGCAGATATTGTTACTGGGTGTACTTTTCGGCTTATTATAATATATTTTGTTTTGTATTCATTTACTTATAGTCCGATTCGCTCTGCTTTTCTTCAGAGTCTTATCGAGTTTCTCAATGTCCTTTTGATTACTTTCTAGGACAGCTACATTTATCATCAGCACACCCAGAGATTTTAATTCATTCCGACGTGCACCCCTCCATTTTTGTGTCTTATTGTTCTAATCACCTTCTGCAGCGTCAAGTTGGACACAATCAGGGATAGTCAATTTTTCTGCCATAAGCTAGTTCGAACTTTGAAGTCTTCAGATACTTCTCTTTATATTAGGACTCGACATTAAGGATCATTTGTACACGCCTTGGCCAGTCTCACCAATTTACTGGGAACTCCTAGCTCAGTGAGGTCATGCTAAGTCCCTATGCACAGAATCATAGGCTTCTTTGAAAGGGAGAAACAAGGTGTGGACGTCTTTAGCTACTTTTCATCATTTTTTAGTACTTGTTTCAGAATGAAGATCTGGTCTATCGTGCTCCTTTCTCTTCTGAATATATTTTGGTGGTCGCCTATTATGTTTCCCGAATACGGATATGTCCGGTTAAGTAGGAGATTGGTCATTATCCAGTAGGTAACCGGAAGGAGTGTTATGCCTCTGTAATTACTACACTGTTAAATGTTAGAAATCTTTAGAATATTCCCGCTTTCAAGCAGCTTATGATTCTGTGGATAGGAACTGTCTTCGAAAAATCATGACTGAACTGGGAGTTCCCGGTAAATTAGTGACACTGACAAAGACGTGTATTTGTTCGCAACAAAAATCTAAAATTCCATCGAATACGTTTTATTTAATATATAAATTAGTATTTATTTTAATTGTATTTAAAATTTAAAACTCCCTCTTAGACTTAATTAAATGTAAAATACAAATCTGTACCCCGGAGGTTAAGGACACTATGTATTTTTTTTATTAATGACTAAGAATCAAATTTTAATACATCAAAGTTAGGGATAATTGGCTCCCGGAACAAACATAAAAATCTGAGCTTGGTAATTTAAAGTGTATTTCAAAAAATTCTAACATCCGGTAAAAAATAAAATAAACTACATACATATTTTATAACGTTTCTTAGATTTAATTTAAGTTTATAAACAATTATTCACTATTTAATAACTGTACCACTGCAACCCATGAAGGGTCTTGGGTTCAGTAATATTTAGAGAAAGCACTGTTTCTAGGTCTACGGCTGTGCAAGGAGGTGATTTGACCGAGTTCAGGCCGCCAGGTTTTCCCCCTTAATTAATTTTTAATTAAGGGTACCCACTTTATAGAGGCTGGGTGTGCCCCAGGTCAGGGGACTCCTGACCCAAGGTCGCTCCACGGCCAATGAAACAGATAAATAAATTTTCTGCCGTGAGTCGGGGTTCGAACTCGGGACCTTTGCATTCGAAGCTCAGTGCCCTACCACTGAGCTACCCCGCTCCATAGTATTTAATAGATAATATTTAAAATCAGTTATTTATTTACTTTTCGTTTTACCCAACATAAGCGTTTTCATCAAATACAATGAAATTTCCAGGACTATTAAGGGTACAGAAAAACGTAATAAACACAATCAGTCTTTTTTCACACTACAGCAAATATTCGCTATTTGTCAACTTGTCAATCATACCTTCCATTAGGTTGCGATTGCAAATTTAATTTATAACTAATGCTATAGGAAATTTATTAATATTAAAATAGTAGCAAAACTATTTTTCTTATGCTTGTACATCGGAATTGCCAGAGCTTTTTTATTCACCTAAGAAGACCTATCCTTTATTCCCAAGTAATTATAGTTTTAACGTAAGGAGGTAGGATTGGAGATGGTGGAGAGCCTAAAGCTTGCAGAGGTTATTGAAGAGAGGGAACTGATCGACTTGGGGATGAAGGGGCACCTGTGGCCCGGTGTTTGCCAACTGTCAACACCCGCTGTGTACTCACCTCTCGCCAATCAATTTGTAGCCTCGTCTTTCTTTTCTTTTAGTGCCTTTCTGTCTGCCCACAATCTTCTTCTAATCCTTTTTCAATTACTATTTCGGTTTTAATGATGATTTCGTTTATCTTCATTATATATGTAAGTGATGAATTGATTTCAATCAGAACTTTTTACGAATTTGAGGTTATGACAATATTAAAAAAAGAGAAGAGTATTGAAGTATTCTAACTTAGTGGATGATTGGTCTTACTTAACAGTGAGTGTTGTTTTTCAAGTGTCATACGAATAAACTACAATATTTATTTAACAAACTTATAACTCTTAGATTATATTCACCAATATTAAAGAAAGACGATAGAGATAATATTAACAAAGGAAAAAATAATAATCTATCTGAATATTTTATTATGTGCATATACCTAATTCAATCGATTTCTTGGTTTGCGTTTAAAATCTATTTTCTTTGAAAAACTATTAATAATAAAATAATAATAATAAGGCTTAGGGAACCCGAAAGTTCGTTGCCGATACCATCGATGTCCACATTCTTCCATCCACTGAGCGTTATCTAAATCCAATCCCACCAGATCAGCATTAGCGCAATATTCTATGGTCTATGGTCTATCCCTCGGACGCTTGCCAATCAGCACAGCGTATATTATTTTTGTTATGGATTCTTTCGATACTAATCCCAGCGATTTTACATGCCCATGTTATTCGCCTTAAATTAATCATCTCAATTATATAATATTAACCGGATACAGTTCGAGCAATTCAGTGTTGTTTAACTTATCATTCTTCGGTCCGGATATTCTGCACACCACTTTATTTTCAAAACCTTAAGACGATGCTCATCCCTTAATGTAAGCGGAAAAGTTTTGCATCCATAAAGAACCGTAGGAAGGATAATAGTTCTGTAAATTGTAATTTTTAACTTTCGGGACAGGGCAGGAGACGCGAACTAAGTATTTCTGAAAAAGAAAAATAACAAGCATTTTCCGCCTCCCATCGAACCTTAACATCCTCTTCGATTTCATTTTTTCTAGTTATTATAGACTGTAGATACCTAAAATTCTGTACGTGTTCAACCACATTCCCTTCTATGTCGATATCTAGGCAGCTAACCATGTATTTTGTCTTATCCATATTTATTTCGAGTTTCAGTTCTTTACTGGCTTTCATCAGAGTTGTATGTAGTTTTATTGAAAAACAGTTAATTATATTTTTGTCACCTTTATTTAAACAGTAATAGAACAGCCCCACAAAATACTAACAAAACTTTTTTATCATCATTCGCTAACACACGATACTTCTCTGTACAGAATTATCACTTTTCAACGGTTCTGCAGTACTTTTCTCAACAAAAAATATTCATTCAAGATTGAAACTGCTTTTCGATTCCGGTAACATCATCATTTACTTAACAAACGCTGTTAAGTAAATTACTCAAACGCATTGCTCCTGATCATATTCATTACAAAAACCTCTTATTTATCAACTGAGTTTTTGAACTTATTTCATTGTGCCTACTTTGTAGATCATAATTAATAAAGATTAGAAAAAAATTGTTTTAGAGAGGATTCAGCCTAAAAACCTTCATTTGAATCTGCTAGTGTTCAGAAGTACTCAAAATTCAAAGTATAATATTATTACATTACCAAAAAAACTTAAAACCACCTACTAAATCTGGTTTTTCCCTTCCTTGTCTATTTATTTAAGGCTAAACGGATTTTTCTCGATTTGGGGGAGAGGGCGGGGGAATTATGCCGAGCTAAAATTCCCACCGGGTACCAGTATTAGAACCAATAATATTTTTAAAGGAAGGAGATGGTCCGGGGTGGCGGTCATAAATAGGTTAAATATTCGATCTAATCCAAATGTAAGAATATGAAAAATAAATCTGACAGTTAAGGTCACAGATACTTCATAAGCAGGAAGTTGGAGAATATATACCGTTGTGGACTGATCCCAAAAGAAAGTTACGCAATAAATAAATCCAATGGCTTAACAGTTATTAACTATTGGTGAAACGGTAGGCAATAATTCCTATTGCCTCTAATCATATTACAGTTGTGAACTGTGACAGACAGATGGAAGTCTTTTACTGACGGTGATTGGTTTCTCGTGAGGTAAGAAAGAATGACAGTTGCAACCAATGTAGAAGTTCTTTGATTGATTACCAGGGCAAATGGAGAGAGGAGGTCTTGGTCGAACCTAAAAAGATTTCTCCTTAAACAAGTTATATATAACTTAAGAAGTGTGATCTAATCCATTTTCTAGATCTTTTTATTTTTTTTTAATATGGAATTAATCAACTTTGCCTTGCTGAAATCCGAAAGTATTAATATTAAAAATGCTACCAGATTCAAATTGAGATGTGTACTAACCATTTTTCACACATGATAGGCCAGAAAATATAATAAACATTAAGTACATTACTGATTTTCATAAAAAAGATTAAAAACATCTCCACATAATTAAATTAACAGCGAACCCACAAGTCTTTCAATGCTGAAAACTTTTATACGTTTTTTTTAAATATAAACAACACATCTATCAATAAAAACAAACATTGACATAGCTGACCTTTTGCAAGGTAACATGTCTAATTTGACTGGGCTAGAAAACGGAGGTTTCCAGGCATCGCTAGAGAGGAAGCGAAAAAATATATTACAGTATTATCTTTTAGAAAAGGAATTGAGTTAGACAGTTGGTTAGCGATCAGCTCGTTTGAACTGTGATTACCTTTTAGGAGATTTCAGTACTTCTTAGTTTGAAATGATAAACATTGACTAAATTAACAGGTTTCATTCTTTGCAAACCCTTAGCGTTCAAGCAAATTACTGAAGCGAATGAAGGAGAAAGACATACATGAATATAGACTAATGGAATAGGTCACAATAATTTCAATATTTCTTTCCAGTTAATACAATACCTTACATAAATAAACCAGTGAGAAAAACAATGAGGACGCCAAGGGGAAAACATGGGTTAAGACTAATTGGACAAGTTGGTGGAATACACTGCGGTTCTGCGGTGTTGGCTTAGGACGGTCACGTCTTGTCCTGGCCAACTCCTGAGTCTTATCTTCCAATGGTCGACAACCGGCGAGTCCGTGCATATATTTCTCATCGAAATGGAAAAAACAAACAAAAATATCCTTAGGGTTCAGAAATTAATCGAAATTTATTTTTAAAAAATAATACCTGTACCACTACAACCCATGAAGGGTCTTGGATTCAGTACTATTTAGGGAAAGAACTGTTTCAAGGCCAACGGTTGTGCAGAGAGGGGATCTGGCCAGGATCACGCTCAACCGCCAGGTTTTTCCACTTAACCAATTATTTAATTAAGGGTACCCACTTTGTAGAGGCTGGGTGTGCCCCAGGAGGGTCTCCGTATCCCAGGGTCACCCCGCGGCCAATGAAACAGAATAAATAATTTTTCTGCCATTAGCCGTGATTCGAACCTGTGACCCTGAGCATTGGAAGCTTAGTGCCCTACCACTGAGCTACCCCGCTCCTCTAAAATTTATAAACATAATCAATAGGAATCAAGGATGGAACTGAATTCTATACGAACAGATCTTAGGTTAAGAACAAAATATCGCTAAGCCTGTAATATTAAATAAGGAATTAAATGATAGAAAGTAACAATATTATATAATAGTTTCAGTACAACATGCTCTGTGTCAAGGTATATACCCCAGACTCCCTAAGGAGTTTGGCCGTCAGTGCCACACATCAGTGCATTTAAGGACCACGTGTCGACTGTCTTTTGAACTCTGTCTTGCAATTGGGGCATAGGGGATCAATATTCTTCCATCGTTAAACGAGCTTCGCTTGAAAGCCTCAGTGTCCCGTAAGGAGTTGACACATCCATAGAGTGATCGTGCATCCAATCATGATTAGATCGCGGGAAAGAGCTTGTCAAGGGTAGCCCACTGTTGAGTGCCAATGCCATTGCCGGTTTCATTCCGAATCGATGCCAACTCACTCTTATGTCGGAACTAGATGTTTCAGGCTGGGTACGAAGATTTCAGGATAGCCAAAACTACTTCTTTGTAGATAGTCATTGCATCTGAGGCCACAGAAAGCACCCACAGCACAACTCGGTTCATTGAGGACCAATGTAACCCAAGGGTAAAACCTCCAGTTGAGGCAACTTTAAAATTTGTTTATCCCATTTTCAATTGTATAGGTACTTGATTGAACAATTTCGGTTCTGTTAAGTGAGTAAAAATTTCTAATTTCAAACTATATATATATATATATAAATCAATGCCTTTCATTTATTTTTACTTTCACTTACGTATATATGTAATATACAAGTATTTTTTCCAATGGAAACTTTATATAAACGCTGAAACACATTTTTACAATTTTCTCAAAAACATCTCTAACGATTTTGATTAAACTCGGTGTATCATTGTATAATTAAGTGGTCTTCAATATCATTAAGGTCTTATCATCGTTGATTTCACTTTACAGGGCTTTATGGCCAATGCTCATTTGCATCATCCTCTAAAGTACCTTTAATATGGTTCATTTTAAATAACTGACTGTCTTTCATTATTGAAAGTTACGAAAAAATGCTAAATATGACGTAAAAATTTGATAGTTGAATAAAGGAGAAAAAAATAAAAATCCTTAAACAGGTCGAAAATGAATCTCCGGAAAAACTAGTCAGAAGGTATAAGTGTAATATATCATTGGAAAGCGGAGAATTTTAGAAAAAAATAATATCTAATAACATGTTTCCAAGAAAATTAAATGAAATTTTCTTACTAAGTGCAAACTTCAAAATGTGTTTCTAAGATTGAAAAAAGTATTTAAAATCGACCGAATCAAGCCAATATTATTGTTTAAAATACTATTTCGTAGTATTTGTGTGAAAGAATAAGTAAAATATAAAAACTTTTCATGGATATGTTTATAACCTCAAATATATTTACTATAGAGTATTAACTGTAGATAAGATATTATATTTAAATAATTAGGTATCTATCGGCCGTTTATTCCAAAAAATCATCATGTAACCTTTTAGAAAATTAAATTAGTGAGACAACTTTTGACCTATTCATGGCAAAGCAATGAAAATCTCCTAATTTTGTTTTAGTAAACTTTAAAATGGAAAATAACAGCTTAATAGTTAGTGTCGTGCAAATGCGAGACCGAGACGAGTCTTGGTCTTACAAACTCAATCTTGGTCTAGGTCTTGGTCTTACGCAAGACTCTCGTAACATACTTGCAGTTGCCTATTAGATTATTACTAGAGAAATATTACTGTAATTTTTTTAGATAAGAGAAACCTAACTAAGTCTGAATGAAAAATTAGAAGGGTTAAATGAAAAAGTATATTGGTTAAACCAATTATTTTCATGTAGTAACTAAAATTGTCAAGTATTAGTGACTATTTTGCCTCAATTTTTAATCAAAAAATAGATTTTTTTACCAGTCTTGGTCATGGCAAAGTTCAAGACCAAGACCGATTTCGCGCAACACTACTAATAGTCCTACGATCCATAATCATTTATAGTTTAAATGTTCAGATATACTTTCAAACGTCTGTAGGAATATATGAGCCTTTCGGTTGACAGAATGACGAACTCAAGACAATTTTACTAGAATTTTATTGCCTACCGTCGATATAATAAATAGACATTTTGTAATTATAATGGTCTTAATGACTTGTGATATGTAAGCTTTAAGCTTTAGCTCCGTTTAAAATGCACTTCAAAAATTTGATAATAGCCCAGCATCGGCAGAAAATGATTTCTATTCAAAGTAGAGCGGTAATTAAAAGTTGTGTGTTGCGCGCAACAGATTTTTTTATATGTAATGAAACTCCCTACAAAACTATATAAAAATCATTCATTTTGGGACAACTATTGACGAATTTGGGACAGCTATTCAATTTCCAATGTAAGATTACGGGTTCATTTCCTGCCAGAAAGGAGTGAATGAGAGAAAAAAGATGACTAAGTGAAAGTAAGAAAATCGGTAGCCCGCATCATACAAGCTTCACTATTTCCTCTACTTTTAACAGAAATTATTGCTTATGAAAATTAGGCTATGGCAAAAAGTTTTTACTTTAAGCCGGTTTTCATTGCTTTAGTTTATCAAATAAATCGTACCCAAATCTTTTCTTTGATAAATTTTCAGAAGAATAAATCTAATTCAATTTTTTTTTGTTTCTTGATGGACAATATTAAATTTTTATAAGTTTTTATTTGTTTTATGAAAAGATATAAATTTTTTTCTGAAATAGGCGTGAAAATCGTGTGAGTGGACACACCAGATTTTTTTTTTAGCACTTGAATCTGCCTTTAAGCAAGAAATTCGATGATGACTTTAATTTAAAAGTCGAGGGCGATTTCAAAGTGACAAGCTTCAGGGTTGATTTAAACCACTGTAAAATTTTTAATCAAAACTTTATTAGCTCGTGTGATAACCGAAAATTTCATACCTATATCAATTTTCAAAACAGCGAGCATGGATGTCGTTTTAACCTCTTTATAATCGATTAGGCGATGAATTATAAGTTATAATTGAATTTAAAATGGATAAAATAAACATAAGGAATAGAAATGCTTAATATTGAGATTTTCGTTAAAATTTTGTTTTTTTTTATTAAAGAGAAAAAACAGAAACCCGTAATATCACAATGGTGTTAGGAGTTTTTATTATGTTTTTAAATTTATAGTAAAAAATAATAAATTAACATAAATGATAATAGAATATTTTTTGCCATAAAACATCAATTTAAGAAAAGAATAGTAGATAAAATAAACGGTGTCATTAACAATAGCTCTATTATTAGGATATTATTATTATAAAGCGACTATTGGTCCGGTTATCAGCCGTTCACGGTTACTCTGCTAATTGGGACGATATCTGCCGCACAGTACAGCCAACGGTCCCTTCTTAAATTCCTCACTCTTATAATACCTTTCATTTAAATTTCCAATTATAGCAGTAGTCACAAAGCTTTATATACTTGAGGGCACATTTATAGGTTAATAGTCACGTGGGGGAGGAGGGGAGGGTGGTAAACCAATTAGTTTACAAACCCGTCTGCCAAGTAAGGCCAGTATAGCTTAATCAAAGTTTTCATTTGATAAAAAATATCTATATTAAAAGTTCTTAACATTTTCTTGTGAGAATAAAATCTCTAGAAGAAGCTGTTTCGGAAAATCAGTAATCCCTCAATATATACGGACTTGATATCCACGAGTTTTGTTTATCAGAAAATAGTAAAATGCGAAAAAGATCCGCATTACCAGCTTGCATATTTGATAATTCGTAATTTAAAAAATCTGGTGCGCGCAACACACAATTTCACTTACCGCTCAATTTTGAATAGAAATTTTTTTCTGGCCGTGTTGGGCTATTATAAAAAATTTTAATTGCATTTTTAACCGAGTTAAAGCTAAAAGCTTTGCAGCTAACAAATCATAAATACCATTAAAATAACAAAAGTCTTATTTATTATATCACCGATTGATATTGGGTTGTAAGATGCGTTGATTGTGGATTTTACAATTTAATTAAGAGATTTACACTGTCTGTCATAGACAGGTCAAAAGTTGTCACATTAATTGTCACAATAATCGAAGACGAACTTGGAACCCACATAATAGACTCAAAAGACAAGAACTCAAACGACAATATGGCCAACTATACAGATTACCGAACAGAAAATCTAAACTTTCTATTGAAAACAAATTACTTATCTACAAGACAATCCTGAAACCTATATAGACATACGGACTTGAACTGTGGGGGAAAGCAAAACATCAGACGCATCCAATCCTTTCAATCTAAAGTCTCTCGAACAATAGTTGATGCCCCGTTCTATGTAACCAACAACAAAAACCTACAATGACCTTAATTAGATTGACTTGAGAAATTATATTTACTGTTGTTTGAGACAATTTAATCTTTGAAGGTGCTGAGGGTACCAGAAATAAATTTCATTTTTTTTTTTTACACCCCTTTCGTTATTTACAATTGGACGGACTTAAGGTATTACATTACCTTGAGGAATTATATTTACTGCTGTTTGAGATAATTTAATTTTTGTAGAGGCTGAATGTGCCCGACAGAAATTTTATTTTAT